TTAAATGTTCCGAGCAGCTTCTCAGTACCTCCAAGAAGGCCACGAGCATCTAATCCACCAAACAATTTTTTCATTTCGCAATGGGGCCATCCCTGGGCACTAACATCAAATGATGTCATCCCCGCATCTGCCAGGTTGAACAATGTATTCATCCATCCCACACATGACGTGGGATCCTGAAGAAAAATAGAACATTTTAAAAGGAAAGCAATGTAAAAATTACTAATTTTTTGTCCAAGTGATCAAAGCCCTTATCCCTATCTTGTCTCGATTGTCAAAATGAACAGGCGCCCTTAACGTCAATTTAAAGGATATATACACAACTTTAAGCTCTCAATGCTTTTGGTAACTTGATATACTGCAAAAAAATGTTAGACATCGATTCCAATGTGGTGTCTACAATATCGCTAACACAACTCTTGAATAGTGGTATAACAAAACCACTATATCAATGTCGATGCAATGTTAGAACACACACTAACACTTTTCCATATTGGCATGTACTTTGAAGTAGGCATTGTGGAAGCGTTGTTGGACAATGCGCCAATAACAATACAACCGCAATATAACATCAACGTCTATCCTTTTTTCAGATATCTTTTTCTGCCAATTATTGTTGTTCAGCAGAACTTAAAGAAATGCTTGAACATAAGAATTTCTACTTGGGAATTAATGGTAAGCATGTAAATGTATGCATGTTGCTAAAACACCATATTACAAAGTCAACCAGTGTCTATTAACACGAACAATGCAAGTTGCCTAAATGGTTGTGCACATTATCTTCTCGAAACACAACACTTCATTAGTATGCAACGGGGACTACTGAGACCTCACAAGAGGTAAATGTGAGATTTTTGTGCTTGTCAAGAATGGGAAGTCTCGGTGTCTTTCCGAAAGGGTGTCGACGTTTCACGTCTATTGCTTACTCCTTTCTTTCTATATACAAAGAGATCTACTTTATCAGGCGAGATTTGGGTTCTTGAAACGTGTTTGCAGTGAAAATTTTTTCCATGCCAAATCACTTCTTGTTGTCACCTATTCGCTTTGTTGCAAACACAAAAAATAAGGAACTCGTTGGAGTTGTCCCTTGCAAGTCTGGAGGAACACCAGGGTTACGGGAAGAAGATGCTATTGAGATATCCACGCATACCATGGAGGCGACATGACCTATCGTCAATGCAAGAGGATGACTAAGAAAAAGCTTTCTTCTTTTTGTTCTTCTTGCAAGTGCACGTCCTTCATGGACGGTCTTTAGCAATCTCTTACAGAAATTGGGAATTGGTGGATTCTTGATATTACTGGTGTAAAACTTTGGATATCAAGCAATAGAATAATGGACACTACTTTTCTTGGACAAAATGGGTGGATGATGGCTAGCTCCTTGAGGGATGGCAAAGCGGTGTTGCGTTCCTTAATGTTTCAACAATAAAAGGGTACTTACGGACTCCATGCCTTCCTTCACTTGCTTTATTCCAGCTTCCGCTTCGGTGATCCTTTCCTTCAGTGCTCCAAGGCATGATGATCGCTCCTGGGATCCAAGAGACACACAATTTTGTTACGCCTCCCTAGTTCGTGTGAAGCACACAACAAAGTTAAAAAACGACCTTCAATAAAACTCCGACAAAATGATCTCCATTGCACTCGGATATGGGTTGTAATATGATTGGTCTCATTGGAGGGAATGATACCAATTACTGACCTGAAAATTGCCTCACACATTGCCTCATACATTCCACAATGGGGCCCTATTGTTGTTGAAAGCTATGACAATATTGTGCTGCAATCTCGTGCCACACTTGTGCTTGTATGGATGCTTGTTTTATTGAATATGTAGATATCCCAAAAGTAGATCGTACTAACTCCATGTCGCCTGTGAGCTCTGTAAGTTGAAACGAAGGTAAAATTGTAAGAAGTATATGTGCATGGGCCTGTGGAAACTTTAGATTAATCATGGCACTTCCCCATTGGCCCCATGGAATTATATTGTTCCTTTCACAGCTGCTGGTTGCAAGCATCTGCGATTCGAAACGCACAGCAAACAATCCATAAGACATTACTTACTTGCACAACCGCTGCATCTTCTATTTGAGCTAGAGACTCTTCAATTTTTTTCGCTTCGTCCTTTCTCTTGCTCCACTCTTGCATTATTGCAGACTTGCTGATTCGCTTTGCCATGACCTAGCAACAAATCTGAATCTATTTTGATATACTGCTTCTGGGTATGTTCGCACGTCTACCAGCCAAGCCTCTTGTGCACGGCCATGTGCGATCTGCGTATATAGCAAAGAGAAGTCCGTCCACAGCTGTCGTGTAGTCAAAGTACGTGCCACGTTCACTCCAACACGATGAGTGGACATGACGACGCTGCCTTTAGATTGTCTGCGCCCTGCCGTTGTACCACATTCCAACAACATGGTTCCGAGGACGGCCGCCAAAAAGTGTTGTTGCATGTTGTCATATTTGTCGGTCAGCATGTTCCAATACTACAGGAGGTGTGCCTTGCGACGAGGATGATCACGTCACTCATTTTGAGCTTTGCGGCAAATTCATGGAGGCCGACATCTCAGCCTACCACGATGCGTGCATTGGGAGGTACTGAGGGAGTTACCATTGTAGAAGGGACTCAGCGCTGCCCCAGCATGCCAAGAACCGCAGCAACGAAGCGTGCGGCGGGGTGGTCCATCAGCTTTTTTTTTCAATAAGTTGTTGTCTGCAGCGGTCCGTGTCGCTATTTTATTGTGATCCCTGGCCTCACTCCAGCATCATTATTGCACTACTTCTAGTAGTAAGAGCAGCCTTCCTCCAGAGGGAAGGCAGCATCTCCGAATCAACGCCACGGCAAACGTTTGCGACACAGGGGCCAACCGGGACGTCCGGATGCAAACATTTATCTCTTAGCCCAATACCTTCAATGCTACTGAGCCATTTTCAAAGTTCGCCTTCCATTTTTGAAGATGTCCTTATCAGCCTGTCCCTCATTCACAGCCAGAATATAGCGACATCTCTTTCAGATATGTACACAGTTTGTCTTTAGCTAGGTCTTTGATCTGTTCAGAAGCAGCTCACATTGAATAAAGGATCTTCCGGGTTGAATCCAGGTTGCTGCTCCTCTTGGATCCAACTCTCGCTGAGCAGGACCTGTCACACACCAAAAGTGTCATCCACACATATTGTGCTCGATGTCCCCTCTGTGACGGCTTAGCCGCTTGAACGAGTGCCTTTAGCTGTTTACGCAAGGTGCAGAGGCTATTTGCGATGTGTTGGAAGCACCGAGCTGCAAGTGCATGGAACTGACCATTGGGTCTTGACTCGGTTGACATGCGTTGACAATTGGGGACAAGGGAACGCCTGGAATGAGCTCCACCGCTGGCCTCTCGGAGCTGTACAAACGCGAGAGCACTGGGCAGGCGGCGGGCACATCGTGCGGTGGCCCATCAAGGTCCGCAGCCTCGCTTTGGACTGCCTCTGACATTGTGCGCTATTCTGTTTGCAGTGGCTTCTCCAGTTGCAAGCGACACATTGGCCTGCGTTGCCAGTGGAAATGTAGCCGTGGACGTTCAGCGAGCTCTCATTCGGGTGCTGGACGCTCGTCTGGCGGGGAGTCGTCAAGTGCCCAAGATGCTGTTCGCCCTACGCGGGAGACCGCTGCCAGCAGCAGTCCTAAACTATCTGCAACGGTGGACCAGCGGGTTCGCCAAGTCAACGATATCGCAACAAGGGCAGAGGGGATGTGTCCATGCATGATCCACAATCCCATTGGCAGGAACAGTGCTGAAACAGCGTGAAACCTAAATGAGAGCTGCGCATTCAGGATACCTTGCACCCAGCTGGTTGAATTTCCATCACGGACCACATCTCCCAACTAGAATCATCTAGTTGCTCCTTGGAGTCTCCAGCGAGGATACGATATCGCGTCTGTGCTGGTGGCCTGGAGATGAGGACCTGCCAGTGTCGAGGCAGCGGCCCCAGATATGCAATATCTCCAGCAGTCGCGCATAGGCAATCCACGAGTCATCCAAAAGGGGCAACATCCTCGACGAAGGAGGCCACAGCCAACACCAGACAGAGGAGTCAGAGTTTCCGGTAAGCTCTGATTGAGACACGAGCAAATTGCTATGTCCTGGATGTGGTGATGTCGCACTTGACAAAAACATTTGCTAGTGCAGATATCATTCCACCTCACGAACTTGGGCACAAGCTCACACACAAGTCGCCTCATATGCCACATGCAGTCAGTCCCCTGGACTGCGCAGTGCAGTGAAGCGGCTCCATAACCTTTGAAAGCTGCTTTCCGAAATCAGTCTGGGAACTCCCCGAGAAAGTTGGTGCTTTTATCAGGGTCCAGGCACCACCACCCTGATGGGGTAAGGGGTGACGATTGTGAGTCACAATGACAACCGCCTGTGTTCTGTATGTGTTGAATGCAGGCAACCATCAACTGTGAAGCTATAAGCCTCACAATGCCAGGTGGCATCTTCAACACAGGACACAATTCCAAATGCTGCGCTCCCCACATAGTGAGCGTTTGATAGACAGGCTAAAAATGGAACATGCACGAAGATGCCATGTTTTCTTACACTGGATCCTGTTTTGTGCATAAGATGTAGATTCCCAGCCCTATGACCACCCAACAGGAATCATGCCATATTTTCCACAAAATCGACACGTCGAACTGTGCCCCACCACGCTCTTGCTCATTTTACTTCCCCACTCTTGTATTTCGTTGTGTGTCTGTGCCACACATGCCTATGATTGCAGCAACTGGCGACTGGCCTTTGATAGCCTGTTCAGACACCAACGTCAGCTTCAAATTGGGGCAGCTACACAAGCATACTTGTGACTGCAAATAGTCGATGCCCCGCATGTGAAAAGCCTAAACTTCAGGCATGTGATCCATTGCCACTTGCAGCATTTGGATGCAGGGATTGAGCCATCAGATCACAGGCAATTCTGTCTGTGATATGGGAGATAGGGGGAAGCGGACAGCACATCTCCTGCTTTCACTGGCTGACTGGTGCATCGCTCTCAACAGGGGCCGCCTCTGCCCTCTCCTGTGCCTTCCTCTTTTCACGTTCAAGGAATTCTTGCATGAGTTCCTTGGCTGCACTGAGCTTCGTCAAGATGCCCTTGTACAACTTCAAGTCTGCATTCACAGACTCCAAATCGATGTTGAGGGCACCGACAACCTCCCCCAACGCCTGTGGCTCCTTGACACCTGTCAGCTCCAATAACCGGAACAAACCGACAGCAAAGAACTTTGAATAGAAGAACTTGCCATCTGCTGCCCTGGATGCGATGTCAGCCAACTTCTTCTGCAGCATGTTTGAGCCCTGCTGACTGGGGACCACACTGTCGACACCCTGCAAGCCCTCACATGCCTTTTCCAGGGCTGCAGCATCTGACCTGTATCGCCTGGGGTCCTCATCCAAGCTTTTAATATAGGCAGAAAAAAGTTTCTCCCTGTCATTGGAGGGGAAGCCTTCCAAAATCTGGTCGAAGGCGCTGGTCAATCCCAGAGCGAAAATCTAACACGAGGAACCAAGGAGGGTCAGTGCCATGAATGATCCAATAAAGTGACCAGATCACAGTTTGGCAGGGCAACAAAGGCAAATTGCCCTCAGAGGAGCATCCATTTAGACCATTTGTGGCAGCAACAACCTTGCAGGGAGGCTAAAGGGCATGTTGGGTCGCTGGCCACCACAATGGAGACATCCTACACTTTGCTGTACAATCCAATTCACCTCACCACACTACGTATATCGAATGCTTCCTGCCACTTACTTTATCATATTATCCCTTGAACACTTGTGGTGCTCAAGTGAGCAAGTGGGAATTGACTGGAACTCCACACTCACTGCATCTGGAAAAGAAATCGAAAGCACTCCCTGCAAGCTTTTGCACCTGAGGTGATGGGGGAGCCAATGACCACAGCAAACTGTGTCTTTTCTCATATTCTGTTCACTGTCCCATGTGCTGAATCCCACTGCCCAAGGGGCACAGTGCCTGCGAATGAATGCCACCACGCACAACAAGCAACCAGGAAGGCTGCACCACATTTTAAAGGAGGGGGGGGGGGCACAATGCACAGTTCCGTGCTCGATGGTGGCGGGTCTGCAGCTTCTTCTCCTATGTGATAAACAGTGTGGTGAACCATTTTTTGAGTCCATGAGAGTTGAACGAGGGAGTGAGGACAGCAAGACAACAAATTCATGGCCCCAGGACACCTCAATTCACAATCAATACAACGGACAACATAAGGGTCAGACTCCTACCCAACAGTGAGCCTTCTACACACCTCGTCATATTTGTAGGCAACGTTGTAACGAATAAAATGTTGCTGGATCAGCAGCTCCTGAACCACCGTGTTGTATATGGCCGGCACGGGTCTGGGGTACTCTTCCAGAAATTTCTGTTTCGTCGCGGAGACTGCCGGTGGCTGATAAGCTGCAGATGCAACGATCAAAGTCATGCCCGAACGATTTTCATGCAGTTCAAGACTTCGAAGGGCAACGCCAGAGGTGGACGGAAGGCCATTGTACCTGCCGCCATTGCCACTGATTGCCTCCTGCCACCCCGAACAGCCGTGCGGCTCCCAATCTGCTGCTGGCGGGCACTCCTGCAAGAAAGCGAACAGAGGTCGCCATCGAGATGCGGACGAGCATGCGTCGATGCCCATGAACACTGCCATTCGTGAGCGCGTGGTCACCTGCTCTGTTCCACAAGGGGCGCGCCGGGCGCCCTGAGGGCACCTGACAGCCCCATTGCCGCCTGCCTAGCCTGGGCCCTGCGGATCGTTGGGACGGCGCTGCAGGTGATAGCAAGCCCTCCACTGTCCCCACAGATTGTGGGGTGGGCGCGGGGTGCGCACCGCAAACCGACCGCTTTCCTGCCAGTTGTCTCTTGTTAGGTAAGGGGCCAATGGGAATCGTCGCAACCTCACATTGGTTTATTGGTCGTGACAGCGCACCTCCAGTACTTATTAAATGTGTCTTAGGTTGACCTATCTACCGATGACTACAGTGGCCCACCCCACACCACTGAGGGATGAAAACTGTGAAAGGGGTGAACGCAGAGTCTGAGGGGCCCGTTGGCCGGCACCAAACGGGCTTGGCCTCTTCCAGCGGGCCTCGTCAAGATGGACCTATGGCGAAGCGAGCCTATGCAGCGCATACGGGTTAGCACATGCCTCGCCCGTGGATCCTGTTGTTGGATTGCGTTGTGCGTGGTTTTGTGACGCTGTTTGTGCACACCGCAGCTGATGGTCCCTGCCGAAGCAGCCCATGAGACTATTGTATCCCTCGGCGAGATTGGCCTGGTGCAATTCGTGGATCTGAACACGAATCGGAGCGCATTTCAGAGAACCTACGCTACCGAGGTGTGGATGAAGAGAAGCAGTGCAGAGTTGGTTGTAAACAAGTCTGAAGGGCGTGTCTGCGGTTCCACCCCCTTGACGTTTTGGGTCCATGTTCCTCCTCATCCCCTCTTTCCTGACCCCAGTTTGCGTCGGTGCAGGTCAAAAGATGCGATGAGATGACGCGCAGGCTGCGCTTCTTCAAGGAACAGGCGGGTTGACCGCTGTGGCTTGTTTGTGCGCACCAGCCGTTCCGCTGCTCACGGCGATAATCCTGGGCGCATGCGTCCCAAGCGGTCGTACTTCCTATGCTTCCCCTGCTGCCATCTGCCTTGGCTTCTTACCCCTGCAGCTGCGTGCTGCAAGGAGCTGATGATCTGACGATCTGATGATCGTCCGTGGAGCGTCTGCAGCACAATTCCCTTTTGACGATTTGAACTGTGTGCTGTTGCACAGGTGGAGAAAGAAGGACTCCTGAAAGATGGTATCGGGGTCGACAAGGACACTTCTCTGGACGAGCTCGAGGTGCTGAGTGCAACCCCCTTGCCCAGTTCTGTCCTTTTTCTGATTTACCTTGCTGGTGCATCTCATCGAAAGTCTCTTCCTGGCCATTTTGGAGGATGTCACTGGCTGCCTTGACTATGTGCAGGCCCGTCTGGAGGAACTCGAGCGTGAGTTGCTCGAAGTGAATGCCAACAGCGATCGCCTCCAACAGAACCGCAGTGAGCTAGTGGAGCTGCAGCTGGTTCTTGAGAAGGCTGGCAAGTTCTTCGAGGAAGCTAGGGACGCTGTCCAGCCAGAAATCCTGGAAGCAGCTTCGCCTCTTGACCTCAGTGCACCCTTGCTAGAGAATGCCCAGTTGGTGGGTGCTTAGCATGTAGTCTCATGACTGTACCTGTGTGGCCCACTTTTGATCGCAACTGGAAGTGCAACAGAACCACATGTACAGCAGTGCGCTGCCTGTTGTTCTTTGGATGCCATTCGTTTCCGGATGTGACCCCCCTCAGTGTGGCAATAATATGGTGGATGCGTACACACAAAGCGACTCCTGGTCACCTTTCTTGGTTCTTTGGGCTACTGCTTGTGCTTGGACAGTTCGGTGGATGCAGACACGATACAGGGACATCACGTTGTGCTTGCATTCATTGCCTGACATCGCCAGCTTGGTGAAATGCCTTGCATTTTCATGTGGCGACACATATGTAATCAATGGATTTGGCAACAGAAAGCAAAACTGACAGTGAGCAGGAGATGGTGTCGAACAGTGACGAAGGGCCTGCTTTGGAGAAGTTGTGGTCTATTTTGCTTGTGTGCCGCTTGTGGCAGGGACAGCAGAAGGTCACCAAGGTTGGATTCCTTTCAGGGCTTGTTGCCAAAGAGAAGCTGGAGAACTTTGAGCGTTTGCTGTTCCGCGCCACACGAGGAAACATGTTTTTGAAGCATTGCGAGGTTGGATCTCTGCGGGACCCAGCAACCGGAGAGCAAGTGGAGAAACATGTCTTTGTGGTGTTCTATGCTGGCGAGAGGGTCAGGACAAAGATAACAAAAGTATGTGCTGTTGAATGCAACCAAGTAGGGGTCTATCTTTGTATCATGGGATTGGGGAGTTGCATCGATTCTACCCTCAAGGATCATTGAGCACTCTAAACACATGTTTGAGCACATTAAACGCCTTTGTGGCATTGATTTTTTTTTCTTGCACTGCAACTGCCATCTACCACACTGTGCTGCTGGTGTCCATTTCTCAAAGCACCTTTATTCCGAACTTATCTACATAGTCAATGGGAATCGCCATGGGGCTGAATGTGTCCTGTGTTGTGGCTTTTAGATCTGTGAAGTATATGGTGCCAACACTTACCCTTTTCCAGAGGAGGCTGCTCGCCAGCGCCAAATGGTCAGCGAGGTGACAATGCGCTTAAGGGAGCTGTCAACAACCATTGAAGCTGGGGAGAGGCTGAGGTTTGAGGTGCTGAACACCTTGGCTGCCAATCTCACAGGCTGGTGTGGGAGGCTTATGAGGGAGAAGGCCACCTTCCATGTAATGAACAAACTGTCTGTGGACAGCTCGCGGAAGGTGCTTGTAGGCGAGGCCTGGGTGCCAGTGGATGCCCTTGAGGAGGTCAAGGATGCTCTCGTAACAGCTACAGAAGTCAGCAGTGCCCAGGTACGCTCATCAGCACCTATATGGGCATGGTGTGCCTTTTCTGTGTTTCTGCCAGATTGGCATCGCCTCTCTCCTGCTAGGACTTTTCGAAGCCCTCCTGTCGATGTGGAAATGGATTTAGTGCCTCCTGCCACAAACAGCTTGTGCTTTCTGTCAATTCAGCACTGGTATCAGTTGTATGGAGGCTCCTGTATGATGCTCCTGAACATGATACCAGATTTGTTCAAACAATTTGGTGCTATCCTGTGTTGTGATATTATGCTGGGCCTCAATATGCAGAGATAAAATAATGGCACAACAATCATTCAAGCAGATGCAGAGCTGTTGAAAGGATGCCGCGACTGGCTGCAACTGAATTTGGCTTCACAGCAGACTGCACCAAATCCACTGGGTGATGCACTCTACCAAAATGGCATCTGCCACACCAGCTGCAGTACAATGGCCGCAGCCATGCATACGGTCCACCACACAGTTCGGTTGCCTTGATTCTACACCTTGGACATGCACTGCCAATTGCAAGTGTTTGCTGCACAGCACGTGAGAGCTTGTTGAAGCTTCTGGCTGGTTCAGTGCTCATCCTTGATCCACCGCATGCTCCCTGCTCCCCACTCCTTCTCTTGGGTCCCATGGTGATAGCACAGCAGGTCCTCTACTCTATGCCAAAGCTGGCTAGTGGATGGTCCTGCCTGACCTGCGCCTGCTATACAGAATGTGAAACCAAAACAAATAGGTGGCGCTGTTATTGGATGGATGCAGAACCAAGGCCGTATTGCTGAAATTGCTACCCGCAAAATGATTTGCGACAATATGGTATGGTGAAGCGTATTGGCAAGGTGACCACTAATATGGGGTAACATTGGATGTAACATCGGATAGCAGTTGATGTGACATGGAAGGGCTGGAGCCATGTCCTGTGACATCACTAGCATATTACATTGTGGTCACATTTGCTGAATCATTGTTCCCAGGTAAGGACACTTGAGCCTGCTATTTTGTGTTGCAGGATCTGACTGCTCTTGTACGTTGATTCACTTTCCCAGTGTGCAGCACCATTGCATGTTTGATAATATGACGACTCAAAAGTTCACAACTGAACCCTCTAGTGGTTTCAACTTGCCTGTTGATATTTGTGCTGGACGTTCAGTTGCACAGTCAATGTTTCCATGTCTCCTCTATTTGGCGTGTTTTGCAGACTGGCACAATCTTGGAGCCCATGCACCCTGAAGGGCCTCCCCCCACCTACTTCAAGACTAATAAGTTCACAGAAGGTTTTCAGTCGATTGTGGAAGCTTACGGAGTTGCCCGTTACCGGGAGGTATGATGCAGATATTGTGAAATATTGTGTTTGTCTGTCTGTGCAGTGAAGGGTGGCAGCTACACTCAATGGCAGCAAGTCAGTGTGTGTGTGCTTTCAGTGCGAATTTGTAGCATTATTGGGCCCTTTGTGCTGTGGGTGTTTGTGATTTGACATGTCGTTGATAGGTCTGCATTTTTGTGTGCTGCAGGTGAACCCTTCCGTGTTTACCTGTGTCACGTTTCCCTTCCTCTTTGCAGTCATGTTTGGTGATCTTGGCCATGGATTCCTTATGCTCCTGTTCGCTCTCTTCATGGTCATCCGTGAGAAGGCCCTGGGCAAGGTTCAGAATGACATGTTTGAGATGTTGTTTGGGGGCCGCTATGTCATTCTCATGATGTCTATCTTCTCCATCTATACCGGACTGGTGTACAATGAGGCCTTCTCCATGCCCACATCATTTTTTGGGGGCACCAAGTGGGTGTGCCAGGCTGAAGGCAATGAGACATTGCCAGACATCAGGCTGTGTCAGGGAAGAAGCCTGAGCCTCCTTGTCGACGGGACTGACCCTTATCCCTTTGGGTTGGATCCAGTGTGGCATGGAACAAAGAACGAGTTGACATTTACAAACTCCATGAAAATGAAGATGTCTGTTGTCTTTGGCGTCCTCCATATGGACCTCGGCATCATTATGTCAGTGTTCAACCAGCAGTACTTCAGAGACCAGCTCTCTATTTGGTGTGAATTTGTCCCTCAGATACTTTTTCTGAACTCTGTTTTTGGGTACTTGGCTTTCATGATTGTGTACAAATGGTGCCTCAACTCTCACTTCGCCCTCCCAAACCCCTCTGGACCGGGCACAGTGAATAGGGGAACAGCTGATCTCTACAACGTGATGATCAACCTGTTTCTGAGTCCTGGGACCGTCGATCCTGCTGGGGAGCTGTATGATGGCCAGGCAAGAGTCCAGTCTATTCTCCTCCTTGTGGCATTCGTTGCAATTCCCTGGATGCTGTTGCCGAAGCCTCTCATACTGCGCAGCAGAAACAGGAATGGAAGACAGGTGAGGCAGGGTACTATATGCAGTGGGTTTTGGTCCTGGGGAATGTGTGTAAACTTGTGAGCGAGTGTGTTGCTGTCATTTGGAGATGGCTGTGCCACCAGCCTGCACTGCTGCTGATGCATTTGCTAACTTGTTGCACACAATTTATGTGCACAAAGGTGTTGATCATCCAAGTATGCAGCATAGAGGCCTGATTGGAGGCCCCAATCTCTCTATGTGGTGCCCTTAGTCAAGCCCAGTGTGCTGGACCTCACGTTATTTATTGAGGTGCATGCTGCCCACTATTATGGGAACGCTGGGCCCCTGGTGTCTGCCCAATCCACTCCCCTTGCTGACATTTGATGAGCGGTGCAGGATTTCCAGGGGAAGATCTTCCAGTTGCTGAGGGTTGGTGTCTGATGGAGATGATTGTGGTGACCAGGAACAGCCCAGTGGTGAAGATTCAGGCACTGGTGCCGCCCACGGGGGTGCCAAAGAGGGCGCCTTCAGCTTTGGGGACGTCATGGTGCACCAGATGATCCACACCATCGAGTTCGTCCTGGGCGCTGTGTCGAACACAGCATCATACTTGAGGCTGTGGGCACTCACCCTTGCACACTCGCAGCTGAGCGTGGTCTTCTACGACAGGGTGCTGATGTTGGTGGTGGAATTGGCCTCTGATCCTGCTGCGGGGCTGACTGTCAGATCGGTTCTCCAAATCTTCATTGGTGAGTAGGCTCACGGAATTTGGCGTTCGTCACGGTTGTCAATTGCCTGAGATACAGAGACCTTGCAGGAACAGGAACAGGAACAGAAGGCACTTCCTGTTTTCATTCCAGCTGTTCGGGGGCCCATTTCATGGCAAAGTGGTCCACAGAGAGGACGCAAGCAGTCTGTTTCACAGGGTTTGATGAGACTGGCCTGTTGTCTCAACTGCACGTTCTGTGGTGCTGTGTAGGCTTCTTCGTGTTTGCTATGGCCACCCTGGGTGTCCTCATGGTCATGGAATCCCTGTCTGCCTTCCTCCACGCTTTGCGGCTCCACTGGGTGGAGTTCCAGAATAAGTTCTACAATGGCGACGGTTACAAGTTCATCCCCTTCAGCTTTGCCAATTTCACAAAGGATGACCTGTGATGCTGCTGTCAGTTGTTTCCAATATCGGGGTGATTAGCTGTGCTGCTGACACATAGGGAAGTGTTCCTGACGAATGGTGAAGACGAATTGGACCCCTAGCAGTGCAAGCAGTTATGGTTGTGACATCACACTACTGGCGAGGGAATTTGGTGTGGAGGTCCAACCCGTACATCAACTGATTGCATTCAACCTTCTGTGCCATTGTGTGCGTGGATGTCTGGCAGATGTGTGAGTTTAGGGAGATCAGTGGCGTCCCAAGCGCCATGTTCTTTGTTGTTCATGCAACGAAGGGTGGTGTGCTGGGAGTTTTGCGGAGATTGAACGAGCACTGGGCAGGTGGTGACCATCGCCAGAACATCTCTGTGGCACACCAGAAGAGTTGATGGTGTGTGGGGCTGGTATGGTGAGCTGTGGTGCTCAGCCTCGCAATGACCTGCCAACTGCCATCACTGCCGGTGTTCATCACTGGCAACATAGGCACCAGTCATCTTTTCTCTATGGCGGAGTTGACTCCCACGTGCCAGAGAAACTGCATACACCAATGAAACGTCTCAATCCAAAGAGATTCACCAGCAGTGTGTTTTCGTGCAAACGCACAGCGAGTCTTCCAAAAATGTCTGTTGCATGTCCTCTATGTCACATGTACTACAAATCGAGTGCCAACCGCCCTCTGCACCCATCGCCGGACTCCTGTCTGAGGTTGAAGAATGGCCCCATTCAGCACCTTCGCCCCTTCAGGCTATCCCGATCTGTGCAATACACCTGTGTTGCATCAAGCGTTGGAAGGCGTTGGAGACTGATCAAGCCCGTCTCATTTGCCTGCACTCTCCTGCAGATCGGTCACAACTACAAACACACAAAGGCCAGTCGCTCAGCAAAGCCAACTCATCCCCAAACCCGACATTGGATGCAACAGTTGCCCATGTTGCATACACACAATGTTTCACAATGGTTGGCTCACGGGGACATCGCCTGTGGTGCGACTGCATCACACTGGAGAACAGGCAGCACAGCCATGAACAGTGCATTGCCACGAATCCTGCCTAACTCGCAACTGGACCACAATGTGGCCTGCCGCAGGCAGGCTGAGTTGGGCCTTAGCAACCACTGTCACAGCCAACAGCTCTGGTCCTCCTTGCCAACTTTTGCTATTTCTGCAGCCTTCGTGCTCAAGTACTATCATCATGTTTCAGAAGAACGCTCAGATCATCGTCACAGTTTTCGTCCTCTTTGTGCCAGGAGTGGCAGCTGCAACCAGATAATTTGCAAGACATGGAGAAGGGCATCAAAAGAAGTAAAGACTTGTCTGGGCAGTACAACCCTCATGTCAGCTTCTCCAATAAATCTGCAGTGAAGGGCTGCTGACTTGGAACTCTTGTTGGCACAGGTTCCTGACAAACCTTTCAACATATGCCAATGTGCCTCTGCATGTCATGCCAACTACCCTGCCGTCTTTGTTGTAAGGCAAAGATCAAAGGTGCATATGGCCCAATAGAGTGCACATGGGCAATCACTGTCAACAGTACCTACGCATATATACAATACCATATTTACCCGGTATTAGTATCCATCCCCCTCTCTGGTGGTCGAAAGTACGTCAGTATCCATGACCCGGTGTTAGTATCCACCCCCAAACTTCAACAGAAACGAGTGAAGGCACAGATGGTGGCAAGGGTTGTCAGCGGCTGGTGTTGGGCCACTTTGCCCAGTATGGACCAAACCGCATTCCCTGCGATTCGCGCATCGACGCAGATGATCGGGTCAGGCTGGATGCCATCAAATGAGAATTTGAAAGGAGGCCCGCGAAAGGCTGCGGGGGCGACTAGCTGCCGATGGGGGTTTCACCGCAAGATCGTTGGGCAGCGACCGATGCTGCGAGGCGCGATCCAAAAAGCGGTCAAGAATCAAGGTGCCCTGCTTTTTGGACTGAGTCAACCTGCTACCCCTTCGGCTGGCCAGAGTGGGTTCTAGAGTGGCGTCTGCCAAGGGCGCCCCAAGGCTCAGCATCAGGAGTGGCAAAGCAACGGCGCTGGTCGGGGCGACCGCCATTGTGAGGCCCCACCTCGCAGAATTGCCTGCAAAACGCCATGAAGGCAGGGCCCATCCACACATCACAATGGCTACCAGGCCACAAACCCAATCACGGATCCTATAAAAGCCATCCCAGTGGGCACCAACTCAGGAAAACGCCAAGGACCAAGCCCCTCATCACAGCACAGCGCCCCAGTGTGTTGAGGAGGCCCATGGCGGTCCTTATTCCTCGCATCGCAGAGGAAAATGCGCCTCGGGCATTCCAGCGAACCCCCTGTTGGACCAAATCGCCAGTCGTCCCACCTAGTGCAACCCCAAGTCCAAGCCGCCGGCTACCGTGAAGTTGCTGACAACTTTCAGTAACATCATTGTCACTGACAGAAGTGTGGTGTTTGTGAATTTGTAACTTTGACTTGGTGATGTTGCTATCTATGCACTGCATCTTGCGTTGTTTCATGCCCATTTTGTGTATTTCGTGGCCTATTTTTCAAGAATTTTCTTTGTCTACTCCTTGGATCAGGGGTATAAACTGCGTTAGTATCCATGACCCACTATTAGTATCCACCGCTTGGTTTGGGAGTCCACTACACGCCTGTATGTACAATATGTACATATGTACAGGCAATTCCTGCCCTGTTTGTGAGACTACCCTTTCATTGCAGCCTGTGCGTCATCAACTGGTTGTTGACCAAGATATGGAAGGAAGGGAGCTATTGTTCTCCGAGATGTACTGGTCAACAAAGAGCAAAACACCACAGATCGTTCGCAGTTTTCACACAACACCAATATGCTGATGCCGTAGACTGTTCCACACCAGAAACATACAACTTGGGTATCCACCAGCAACAGCAACTGCATACAACAGACTTGGGAAGTGCCTAGAAGTTCTGTTCTTGCGGTGGCACACAACAGGGTTACAGTACTGGTGGTAAGCATTAGCTCATAAAAGATAGGCTGTCTTGCCAAGGATTGTCAGGCACAGGGAACAATATATGCGCATTATCAATGCTGAGCATTGGCAGTCGCCAAGGGGGACAAACAATTCCTGTACATCCCCCAATACAGACAACATCGATACTCTGAGGGGCTGCCCAATATACAGCTCATCTTCTCCTTGGTCTGAGGAGAGCTCATGTAAGGCGACCTCAGCTGCTACCACTGGGTCAAGGTGGGGAAGCAATGATGCAAGGTAATTTGGCTTGTTGCTGTCTCCTATCAGCAGCGCTGGATTTTTGTGGGTAGCCACAGGAGCTTCGTTCACGTGCAAGAAGCAGCCCCGCAGCCTTCCCCACTGCTGGTCGTGTGGTCCAATCTAACCAACGAACAGTGGCCGCATTGTGCCCGCGGTGATCCATAAGAGATAGCTCAGGATTGGTACCTTCTCTTGGCAATGGTGTGGGTGAGGAACCTGACGTCCCACACTCGGGTTGCATGGGAAACATGAATATGAAATGGCCCAAGAGCACACACCCCACCCCCCCACCCCGCGCGCGCGTTCCGTTGTTTCTGTTGAATCCACACGCCCGCGGACCACGACAGTGGAAAGTACATTTAATTTAATGGTGCCTCGCGGTTGGCCTCATTGTCGGGGAACGACAAGCAGCGAAGACTCAACGGAACTTACACACCAACGTCGCCTTGCCCCGTTCCCTCAAGGCAACACATCGTGGGTACGCTCCAAGGATCAGCCGCTTTCAAGTCGCAATTTCCGAACGCAGGTCACCGCGTGCTGGGCGCGACGCGGTCTGGCTCTCGATCTTCCACTGCGAGGACGGCATCCTCACGATGCGCGAAGGCCACCAACTGGTCCCCCGTGCGAGCCTGCCCACCTTGCTTCTCAGGCTTTCCGTCTTTCCAGGGCGCCGAGCGAAAGTACACCGTCTCCCTGAGCTTCGCCTCCGCCTTCAGCGGCTCCTTCACGGAGGCCCTCACCATGTCCGCGCACAAGTTGGCGTACTTGAGGTAGGACATCCCCGCGACCCGCCAGTACGCCGACGCCGAGCTCGCCGCGCCGCTGGACATCCTGGCAGCCGAATCTCCGGGGACGCCCTGCCGCGCCGGTCGCGATTTTGTGGGGTTGTCGATGGCGGAGAGTTGAGGCAGTCACGCCCCTAATTAGTGCATGGCTCCCTTCTCAGCCTCTCACCCGCATGGCATCATGCATGATGGGGCCATTCAAAGATGCCAAAAGCGCTACCTTTTGGAGAATCGGCGAGTCGCCAATGGCGATTGTTTTTGTTACCAGTCCAGAAGACGGGCCTTTGGCTCGACATTCCGCACTTTTATCACATATGGGAGCGCTTGATGTGGGTCCAATAAAAACATATTGGGGAATCACTCGGTGGCTATTACACATGTGCAGAAGATTCATATGCAAGGCTATTGTTGTGCTGGAACCCAACACTGTCAACATTGAGGTAACACAATGGACACACTGAGTCGGCCGCCCCCAGTGGCCGTTTGTGAAAGAGGAGTTCTGACGAGCTCAAAGCCTCGAGTGCTAGAGTTTGCACAATTTTGAGCCTTGCACTAACGTCCTAACGTCATAAGTGTCGGTCTTCTGCGCATAAAGAAAAGAACACACAAAGTTCCACAGTTCTATGCATTCCTAAATCGTCAATAGTCTCCAGCTTGTAAAGCCCGACACTGCAGAAAAAGGCACTGAACATTTGTAGCAGTGCAACTATTCAAAAAACAATATGTGTCGTTGACTCCTTAACACTGTTTGGTAAACCCAATAGCCAGAGAATGAAGCTCGGCAATGCATGATGGTTGTCTCCTTGATGCAAATCATCACGAATCATGAATCATGAATGTATCACTCAGGATGGACAGTAAACGTGCAACGACTCCCGGCATAGATGTTCATTTTCTACGTTTTGAACGGCCTCTCATCGACCTGGTTGTAGGGCGCATTGAATGGCACAATTTTGTTGTGTGAATCAAAAAATGAGCGAGTTCAGAATAGG